TCAGTGCCCATGTTGGGTGAGGGTGAAGATGTTTGCAGTGGAACAATGCCTACGGGAGAACTAGGAGAATGCATACAGTGGCACCTTTACAGGGGTGCAGCAAGTGTTCTTCCTCATGATGGCCAAGGTGCACATGTGGATATGGAGGGAGTGTATAACTACAGCCCTAGCCATACCTGCTTCTCCTCATGGGGCTTCTGTTGCAGCTCTTGGCCCTATCACTGTGGGAGCACAAGAATTTAAACCCCAATCCAGCAAAGAGCTCTGAGCTCCTTGCAGGATCAGAGCCAGAAACTGTGTCTTATCTCCACTGACCAGGGAACAAGAAAGGAACTAATTCTTTCATCTTCCCTTTTATACAGGCAGGGTTAGGCACAAAGGAGGCAGCACTTACTAATGATTAGAGCAGAGAACCAGGGAATCAAAAGACCTGGAATCGGGTTTCCACTCTGACATATATTTGCTGTGTGACTGAGGACGTACACTCTCTGAAACTTGTTTTTCACATCTGTAATATAGGGATAATAATAGCCATTTTTGTAGATTTTAGCAGTTTTAGATTCTTGGACAGAGTAAGTATAAATTATTATAATAAAATCTGTGTATATGTGAATAGAAACTCCTTCATTACTACATTAACATTAAATTATCCTTTTAATTTCAGATCCTCTTCTACGTGATTATTGGGTATATGAGGGCTCCCTTACCATCCCTCCTTGCAGTGAAAGTGTTACCTGGATATTATTTCGATATCCATTGACTGTATCCCAACTGCAGGTAATAACTGTGCTTAAAGTGACCTGAGAATATGGTTCTGAGCTAAAGGTTATAGCGTACAAATATATAGCAGGATGCTATACCTAGTTTTTCTTGAAGATCCCATTAGATCTGTACATGGCTTTTCAAGTAAATGTTAAACCTTTTGAGTCAGTGAATGCACGGAAAGGTCAAAGATGGAAACAAATCTTGTTATCATTTATCATCTGAATTTAAAATAATTCTTTACTAAAGTGAAAGCAAGAAATCAATGAGCTAAAGAAATTCAATCCTTTGTAATCAAAAGCTTTCAAATAGCACTTCTTTTTGATGTTAAAGGAACAAAGACACACTAGGAGACAGTGTGTCCTGGAGAATGAAATTGTTAATAGTGTAGGTTAACTCTATTACTTTGGACTATATTTAATTTATCTTACTCTTTTCCTAATCCTACATAATAAAAGTTGGCAAATGAACAGTCAATATAAATTTGGCCCATTTTTTAAAAAAATATGCTTTTATAATATATATAAGCCTTTCTGCACAACATAAATCAAAAATACCAAAGAAAACTGTTGGTGCTGAACACATAAATATTCCCTGGCAGTGTTTGAAACCCAGTCATAGGAACACCAGCAATGAGCAAGGTGAACCTAACTATAACACAGAATATGAATGCATTGATTTTTCATTGTCCGTGCTGAGAGAAGGCAAAACAGTAGAGACAAAAGAACATAAACAGTGACAAACTGGATTTTTAATTTTTTTTCCACTTTTAATAATCTAAGACAGGGGTCGGCAACCTTTCAGAAGTGGTGTGCCGAGTCTTCATTT